ATAAGAATATTTTAATACAAATATATATAGTGGAGGTGGGTCATATGATTAGGAAGGAAATTAGAAAAAAATTGGAAAGTGGGTAGAATTGTTTGAAGGGTTTTATTTTGATAATTAAATTACTTATAATGGTGAATATAATATGAATGGTATGAAGGTCGGTAGATGGGATATTATGTTTAAAGGTCAATTTGAGACGGAATATAAATAAATGTAAATATTATATAATTAATAAGAATATTTTAATACAAATATATATAGTGGTGGTGGGTCATATGATTAAGAAGGAAATTAGAAAAAGATTGGAATGTGGATAGAACTTAAAAAAAGAGTTAATTATTATTTTGAAGCCACTTTTATTGGTGAATATAATATAAATGGTCAAAAAATAGGTATTTGGGTAGAAATGGATATAGAGACGAATGAAAAAAGGGGACAAAAGAGATATGATAATTGTTAGTATAAACAATGAAATATAAATAAAAATAGATTCAACATCATTTTTACAATTATTAAAAAAAACTTTTCACATTATAAACAAATATTACTTGATTGATTTTTTTTATTCCTTGTACCTTTAAAAAAATCATCTTATTGGTTTTCTAAAGTTTTTTTTTGTTTACACCTATTACTACCTCTAATATAAGCAACTTTTAAGCTTGGTTTGTTATATGCCCAATCTTAATCTATACCTGAATTTGAATTAGGATTTATAGAATGTAATATAGCCGTGTTATTTAAGCTTTTCAGAAAGTTATTAGGATAGTCCAATTGTTTTGCTAGTCTTGTTTAACCTGTTGCTGTCTGTGATAGCTTGTTTTGCAGGTTGAACTCTGGGTGATTAACCTACTGATGTGCGAGTTAGATTTATCTACCTTGTTGTTGCTGTAAATGGTTTTGGTTACTTTATATATTTTGGAATAAAATTGTGATTAGCCGACAGAAGTGCGAACTAGATTTATCTGCCTTGTTGGTCATAAAAGCACCTATTCTAGTATTTCTTAAAAGAGTTGTCTAGTAAATCTTAAGAATCTCTTTTTGAGGAGTTCTAATTGAATATAACATATAATTTTTTTTAATTAAATCCTATTTTAAGTAGTTATTAATCGATAATTAATTTTATGAAGATCTATTTTCATTACAAGAGAGATATATGAATTTAATATTTCATTATAATGAATTCTGTAATTTTAAGAGTATAATATAACTAGGGTACTTACAAGATTTTAGTAAATCAAATTTTCTTTAATATAATTTTGAAAGTCCTGTTTAGGGTTAGCCCATAATAAATTTATTTCATGGGTTGGTTAAGACTGCCTATGACTGCAAATCCTAAGGACGCAGTATTATGGTTAGGGCCATCAGAAATATTCTCATATTGGCGAATCAACATTCTCCATTCCCTAATAGGGTATATGGGATAGGGGAGTTATTACTTTATATTTTTAATTTAAAAATATTTCAATCATAAATATATTTTTTTTTTAACTTTAAAAAATTAAATAAACTTTAACTTATGTTTAATAATTTA